TATAGTACAGGGTCAACGACGAATAGTTAGGAAAAGAAAGAAACCCCCTCTTGAAGCTGTAACACTTATGATGCTGGTGATTTCAAGAGGTAAGCAAAGTGCTTGTCTTGGGAGTGGTTAACTCAGAGGAAGAGTTTGAGGGTAAGTAGACGATAGTAGATGAGTAAGAACAGTCTGTCTCTCTATGCTGGATTGCTCTGGTATTTTATACATGAGGGACCAGACCCCTAACACTACTGGTAGTACACCTAACACCTAGGATGACTGATGCTCACAATACACTATTGGCTATCTAAGAATACCTAGCGTGTAAACCATCATCCTGTCCTCGTGTCAGATCAGTAGTTCTACAATAATGATCACCTGAATGACTATGTGTGTTCCTAGTACAAATGGGGAAATCTCATGTGAATGTATGATAACCCATTTTTTATGCTTCTGATAAGCTGAACACCTGACTAGTAACATGTCACCATGCATCATGCTATCCTTATCTAGGTAGATATCTGGTTAGATAAGATATAGATCATCTAGATGCTAAAAAGATAAGATAGATGCGAAATTCTGTGACATTACCCCCTCTTCAAGACTGAGACTCCGGTGAAGAAGATAAGCCAGTGGACTCAAATCCACTGTCTCCTCATTGGGTGTAATCTAATACCCCCCATTGTGCCTTGGTCAAAGTGATTTGTTCTATCACTAGTTGTGCTATACAATTGTCTGGATGTACTGCAAATGGAAGTTTGCTGTTGTTCACAAGCAACACTTTTATTTTGCCTCTGTAATCCCAATCTATAACTCCAGCCGCGACATCAATCCCTTTGACAGCAAGTCTACTTCGAGGTGTGACATATCCATAGCTGCAAAGAGAAATCACACATTTGAGTCTAGTTCTGACTAAACTCCTGGTTCCTGGTTCAATGATAAGTTCATCTGCAGCTGCCAGATCAAATCCCACTGCATGCTCTGAGCCTTGCTTGGGAAGAAACACAAATTCCTTGGTCTTTTCAAAGATAAGTGGTTTGGGTTGGAGATGTCTATATCCCCAATCTTCACTATCTTCATCATATATGTTGATCCCTTCTCGTTGAAATAATATTTCATCTGAGCAATCATCAACATTTGATACAGGTTGAGGTACTTTTGGATGTTTCTTATGAAATTCATTGACCAGTTTCTGAACTTTTTTGAGTGCCTTGGGTGGTTCCCAAGTGTCATCTGACTCTGTGTATCCCTTCCAGCATACTTGATACATAATTTTGTTATTATTATTGAGTCTGGCATTGACTATCTTCTCAACTTCATATTCAGTTTGACCTCTAACTACAACTGGAGGTGGAGGTTTCTGCTTTCATCCGGGAATTTTGTCTTCATTGAAGACATGTAGATGGGACAAGTGGAACACTGGATATACTCTGTAAGACTTAGGAAGTTGTAGTCTAAATGTAACTGGCCCCAATTGTTCCACTATCTCAAATGGTCTGTAGCATCTTGGCAAGAGTTTTTGGTTATATGTCTGTAGCTTTAGATCCAAAGCATCCAAAAGACATTTATCACTGACTTTGAATGTAACTTTGGTAACATTTTTGTTGTAGTACCATTTCATTCTCTCTGCTGCCAATACTAACACTGCTTTTGCTTGCTCCTGCACTTTGTACCTTGACTTTACGTAGTCATTGAGTTCAGGGTGTTTTGCAGCCTGTAACTTGGTGGGTAACATTTTCAGATGAAATCCTAACTCTATCATAAATGGAGAAGCTTTAATACTTTCATGTGCTTGATTGTTATAAGCAAATTCTGCTGCTGGCAGATAACTTGCCCAATCATATAATCTACTACTGCAGTAGATCTGAAGGTATGTTTCCAAGCTTTGATTTACTTGTTCAGTTTGACCATCCGTCTGTGGATGATATACAGTTGACATTGCTAATTTGATTCCTAGTAGCTTGCACCACTCCTGGAATAGCTTTGAAGAGAATTGTGTTCCCCAATCTGAAATGATTTTCTCTGGAAGTCCGTGTAATGTCTAAATCCATTGGTACATTAGTAACGTGAGATCCTTTATTGAGAATTCTTTTGTGATTGGTAGGAAATGTGCTCTCTTCATAAATTGATCAACTATCATGCATATTGAATTATAGTCTTCTGAGATGGGTAGATCTGTGATTTGGTCTACTGAAATTGTTTCCCATGGTTGTTCAGGAATCTCATTTGGTTGTAAAGGGCCCTGGTGTAATTATGTAACATTTTTGCCCTTTGGCATGTTTCACAACCAGCGACATATTTCTTTACATAAACCGACATTCCTGGCCATCAATAGTTCCTGGAGAGTAGTTCATACATCTTCCATCTACCAGGGTGTCCCGCTGCTATCAGGTCATGATGCAGATTGGTGATGACTCTACAAATTTCATCATTTTTTGGTACATATACCTTTCCTTGGCATAACAGTAAGCCTGAATCATCTTCAAGATTCCATTGTTCAAGTCCTTTTGAGAACTTGTGTGGTCCCTTAATCATCAAATCATGATATGTCTTCATGATTTCATTGTTCTTCAGTGCATTGCGTATCTTTTGGAGCACCTCTTTATCATTCACTAAGGAATTGTGGTCTGGTTGTAATGTGTGCAATGTGAAATATTCTTGTTTCAGCATTGTTTTGTCATGATTATCAAGCTCCACCCCCTCTTCATGATCTGGCCTCCTGGACAGTGCATCTGCACGTTTCATCTGTTGACCAGGCTTATGGGTAAGGATGAAATTGAACCTTGTGAGGAACAATGACCATCTAGCCTGTCATCTTGTCAACTTCTGCACTTGACAAAAATAAGTCAAATTTTGGTGATCAGTCCAAATATCTACTTGAGAAGGACTCCCTTCCAAGTATTGTCTTCATTCACTGAGCGCACAAATTATAGCTAAGACTTCTTTGTTGTAGATCTCATAATTCCTTTTGTGCTCGTTTAGTAACTTAGATATGAAGGACACTGGATGCCATCTACCATCCTTGTCTTTCTGTTCGAGAACTGCTCCTGTTGCAAAGTCCAACGCATCAACTTCTATTCTGAAAGGATTTTCTGAATCTGCAATTTTTAATATGGGAGCAGATGTTAAGGGACCTAACAACTGAGGATCAGGAGTTCAACTGTAAACTGGTACTAGGACTTATACACGCTATAGTCCTACACTGATATTAGAGTTGCAAACTGAGCCGCTATATCTGATAGCAGTTTGAGAGTGTATATTGGTTGAAGTGGAGCTTCAGACTAGGACTGAGACTTGAGTAGATG